TGGGGAAGACTGCTGATCTGACTGCTGTCCAGAGGACCGTCATTGACACCCTCCATCAGGAGGGTAAGACACAAAAAGAAATTTCTCAAAGAGCAAGCTGTTCACAGAGTGCAGTTTCAAAGCACATCCACAAAAAGTCTGTTGAAGGGGGAAATGTGGCAGGAAACGCTGCACAACCAAGAGAGATGACCGCAGCCTTAACAGCATTGTGAAGAAGAGTCGCTTCCAGAATTTGGGGGAGCTTCAAAGACAGTGGACTGAAGCTGGAGTCCAGGTATCAAAAGTCACTGTTCACAGACGTGTCCAGGAAATGGGCTACAATAGCCGTATTCCCATGGTCAAGCCACTTCTGAACTCAAGACAACGGAAGAGGCGTCTGACTTGGGCTAAGGAAAAGAAGCACTGGACAGTTGCACAGTGGTCCAAAGTCCTCTTTTCAGACGAAAGCAAGTTTTGTATTTCATTTGGAAGTCAAGGCGCCAGAGTCTGGAGAAAGGCTGGAGAGGAGCAAAATCCAAGTTGCTTGAAATCCAGTTTGAAGTTCCCACAGTCAGCGATGGTTTGGGGAGCCCAAGTTGCTTGAAATCCAGTGTGAAGTTCCCACAGTCAGCGATGGTTTGGGGAGCCATGTCAGCTGCGGTGTTGGTCCACTGTGTTTCATCAAGCCCAGAGTAAATGCAGCTGTGTACCAAGAGATTTTAGAGCACTACATGCTTCCGTCTGCTGAAAAGCTCTATGGAGATGAGGAATTCATTTTCCAGCATGATCTGGCACCTGCCCACAGTGCCAAAACCACCAGTAACTGGTGTACTGACCATGGCATTACTGTCCTCGATTGGCCTGCAAATTCCCCTGACCTGAACCCCATAGAGAATATGTGGGGTATTTTGAAGAAGAAGCTGAAAGACACCAGACCCAACAATGCTAATGAGCTAAAGGCCGCTATTGAAGCATCCTGGGCATCCATAACACCTCAGCAATGCCACAGGCTGATTGCCTCCATGCCACGCCGCATTGATGCAGTAATCCGTGCAAAAGGATTCCCAACCAAGTACTGAGTGCATTAATGGACATTTTCAAATGTTTGATTGTGTTTTGCTGTTATAAATCTTTTTTTTTTACTTGGTCTGAGGAACTATTCTAATTTTTTGAGATAGGATTTTTGAGTTTTCTTAAGCTGTATGCCATAATCAGCAATATTAAAATAATAAAAGGCTTGCAATATTTCAGTTGATTTGTAATGAATCCAGAATGTATGACATTTTTGTTTTTTTAATTGCATTACAGAAAATAAAGAACTTTATCACAATATTCTAATTTTCTGAGACAGTCCTGTATATCTCAAATATGTCCTTAACATGGGTTTTTTAGACATTATAAATATAACTAAATACATTGTGCATGTGGACCCTTCCAAATATATATATATGTATATATACAGTATATTGTTTCAACAGGAAAATACGTTTTTTTTTTTGTTTCTTGCCATTAGGCCGATTTAAGTTTGCCTATAACATGTAGAATTCCCGTTTAAAAAAAACAAACAATGTTTTATTCTTATATTTTGCATGATCATTTTATAATTGAATACTCCACAGGTGTGTTTGGTATCCTGGACCTGTATGGACTCCCTCCCAGTGTTTACCACACCAAGCTGGGCTCCACTGCTGCGGCTGGATCCAACACTCTGACCCTGTCGCAGGCTGTCGACTGGCAGGTCAGAGAGCGGGGAACTCAAATGATATTTTTGATGTGCTTATGAATTATTAATTTAGACTAACATCTCTGCGAGAGCTGGTTTTCAGCGTGTGTTTACCTTGTTGTGCGTGCAGGTTGGAGACGAGGTGGTCATCTCCACCACCAGCTACAGCGCCTGGGAGACGGAGAAACGCCAGATCACAGACGTGTCCGCAGACGGACTCATACTGACCCTGAACCAGCCTTTGACCCACGCTCACATTGGTCAGTTTAACGTCTGTCTCTTAGGCCCCAAAATAAAGTCAGACATAAAATAAAATAATTTGTGATATTTACATTTGAATGCAGTACTTGACACAGTATTTGAACACAGTGGTATTACTCCTTTAACTCAGTCTGACTGACTCTCTCTCCCCCCAGGTGACACTCACTCCGGGGACTCGTTCTCCTACACCCTGGCGGCGGACGTGGGACTGGTCAGCAGGAACATTAAGATCGTGGGAGAGGAGTACGCAGAGATGATGGACGAGTCGTTCGGGGCCAGACTGCTGGTGGGCTCCTACTCCTGGGAGGGGATCGACTACAGAGGTAAGAAAGAGTATAACATGTGATTTCTATTCTTAAAGGATAGTTCACATAGGATTAATCAGCTGTAGCAAAATGACTCATCTGGAGTGTCAGACCTTTTGGCCTCTCAGGACAGTTTCAAGATGTTATATCATTGTTTTTTGTTCCCTCCCTGAAGGAAAGGCTCAGATCAGAAATGTGGAGTTCCTCCGCTCGGGTCAGGAAGGCTGGACCGACTACTCCGACCCCCGATACTCTGTGGCCTTCCTCAACCTGGGAGAGGTACACACACATACACACACACACACACACACACACACACACACACACACACACACACACACACACACACACACACACACACACACACACAACATATTAGGTTTATGGTTTATTTCTCTAACAATCATTTACATGATCACTAGGCACTGAGTAAAAAATATCTATTCAATTAGTTAAAATGCGAATAATGAATACTGTTGTTCCTGTGTAAAGGTTTCAGATACGGACTCGTACCTCCAGGGTTGTGCGTTCCATGACGGCTTCTCTCCGGCCATCGGAGTGTTCGGGACAGCCGGACTGAGCGTCGACGATAACATCGTCCACCGCACTGTGGGAGAAGGTACACACGTTACCGACAAAGTAGTTTACAATTGGTTTACAATTTACACATAGGACCAGAATATCCAAAAGAAATAGGCCCAGTTTAACAAAGGGACATTTCCTCCTCTGCACCTCGGGTTGCAGGTATCAGAATCTGGGGTGACAGGACCACGGTGAGGAGGAACCTCGTGATGATGACCATGTGGCCCGGGTCCTATCAGGACAGAGAGGAGTCCTTCAACTATGCCTGGAACGCTGCCATCGAGGTCAGTCCACTCGGAATAAAACAAAAACAAAAACCCATAGACAATGTTACATTCACACACATCATATGAGTCATTACTCATATTCTAGACAGTAGAGCCTGCATACTCCCTTTTATTTTTTCACAATCCTGCGCAACGATCCCTCAGGACCTTTTGAGACACATATTTTATTCTCAGGATTAATTGTCATTACTTTTTTTGTGTATTTTTTATTCTTGTACGTGTTTCTTTAAATACTTTATAATAGTTTTTAGATACATTTTTATAGTTTTATCTAAATTTGCTCCTTTGTTACAACTTAATTCCTCTTATTGAGTTTATGTATGCATCTTTATACACCAAAGCAAATTCCCTGTACTTGTCAATAAACCTGATTCGGATTTTCAGGTCAACGAGGGGACAAACGTGGTCCTGCAGCATAACATCGTGGCCGGATACGAGAGAGTCGCTTATCGCATCGATGGAGAGCCATGTCCAGGTAAACTGACTCAAAGTGATCAGCAGAGGTGGGAAGTAACCAAGTACATTTACTCATGTACTGTTATTACGTACCATTTTGAGATACTTTACTTGAGTATTTCCATGTTATGCTACTCTGTACTTCTACTCCACTACAATTCAAAGGTAAATGGTGTACTTCTACTCCACTACATGTATTTAATACCTTTAGTTACTTTACAAATGTGGATGAATGATGTGAAATGTAATCAAGTGTTCCACCTGGAGTAAATCCACAAGCTACCCTGCAGTATACAAAGTCATTCAAACTAGCTGCACCTTTACCAGCTTTGAGAACACTTTAACGATCAATCATTATAAAACATATCATATATATTATTCTGAAATGGACCAATCTGCACAATGACTACTTCTGGTAGTTTAAGTATATTTTGATGCTAATACTTTTGTACTTTTACTTGAGTAACATTTAGAATGTTTTGAGAATATTTCTACACTGTGGTACTTCTACTTTTACTTAAGTTCACGATTTGAGTACTTCTGCCACCTCTGGTTACAGTCCAACAAATGTCAGGTTTAATGAAATCCTGAATTGCTCAGACACAGGGAAAAGATTCAGCATCAGAGATGAAATGTTTTCCCGTACAGGATATTTGAACAACAATGAGAGGTGGATGAACAACGAGGCTCACGGCGGTCTGTTCGGAGTCTACATGAACAAAGACGGTCTGCCCGGCTGCAGCCTCATCCAGAGCTTTTTCATCTGGAAGAGCTTCGACTACGCCATCTACTTCCAGGTTACAGTCCTCTTCTCTTTATGACACCATTTTGATTCATGTGCTTTAATTCTGGCTTAACTTGAAGCTAACGTGTGTGACCTGAGGTGAAGGGATGTCATGGATCAGGGGGAGTAAAGTAAATGGGTTTGTACTCATACACAACAATAGAGAGAGGATATAGAGGAGCAGTGTTGAAGGACTTCACTTTTATAGTAAACACAAATATATAAGATGGATAGTAAAAAGTGTGCAGTCCATTTACCCTCGTCCTTAGAACAGCAAACTCCCTTGAAATGTTTCAAAGTAAATTCAATCTTTCTAGTATGGCTTTTCATTTGGGTTAACTTTCAATTCTCACTGGTATCATTGTCCATGTTTTACTGTATTTTTTTGTTTTGGTTTATTTAGCATTTTACATTTTCTTTTCTAAATTGTTTTTATTTGAACCTATTTAAATTTCTTGTCAGCTTTACTTCAAGGGAATTTCATTATGATCCCTGTTGATGTTTTATCTTGTTCTCTTTTTATTTTAATATTGTTGTTATGTTTTCTTCTTGTTCTGAAAAGCACTGCTTTGTGCATGAAAGGTACTACAAATAAAGTGTATCCTGATCTTCCTCCCTCACAGATCCCCATGAGTGTGGTCATTGCCAACGTGACCCTGGTGGACAACGGGATGGGCATCATGCCTTTCGTCTACGGCCCCCCCTCTCTCTCCCATGCATACGCTGATAAGACTGTACACGTTCAGGTGAGAGGGGTTACTATGGTTCATCTTTTCTTCGTTTTTAATTTCCTAAGATTTATTGGTTTACTTTAAATGAGTGACTGTTTCATCTTGCTCGTGTTTTCCCAGAATGCCTTGATTGTTGGCAGCAGCCCGAGCTTCAACTGTTCCTCCACGTTGCCAGGCAGCGACTTTAATATAGTCAACAGTGGCAACAGCCGGGCCCCGAGACCCCCCACAGGTACAGTGTAAACTTATGAAGAGGAAACTAGGGGCTTTATTTAGGGATACCGTGATTATTGAGCTGAAAAAATCAATACCGTTTGAACAGGCTTTTAAAAGGCCTTGATACTTTTAGGATGTTCATGAAAAATCCAAATCTAGACGTTACCAAAGATGTGACTTTGTGTTGAAAAGTGGTGGGGACCTAAGGGCTCAGTTTGAAACACACATGTGATTTTATGTAATCTCTAAGCGGTTGACCAATCACAACAGAGCCGGCCAGCTAACCAATCAGAGCAGACTGGGCTCTGGTTTCGGACAGAGGGTGAAAAGAGGTGCTGCAGCACAGGCAGTATGAGAAAAATAAAGAGCTTTTTGAACATTAAAGCATGGAGTATGTCACAGTAGAGGACGGAAAAATACCAATATGAACCCGAAAATATGCCCCTTTAATGGGGCATAGCTTAAAATACGAAATACCATGGACCAAAGAGAAAACAAGTTTCTTTTAGTAACCTTTTTGGAACCATTAGGCTGGGCCTGATTTGTTTTTATTTTTAGCTAAGTTTTGTGTTTTCTTTCATTATTTACATTGCATTAAATGTTTTTTTACTGTGCAAACCAAATATTCTCAATACCTTCTCATTTGCTTGTTAACCTTTCTTCAGAATCAGAAATCCTTTCCCATTGCGGGGAAAAATTGATTCCCAGTGTAAATGACTCCAATGGACACAAGATCTTGAAAACATTCATTGTGTTATTCTGACTCAAATTGTTTTTGCGTATAAATGCAGAGTGGTTGAACTAATAATAATGCTAATTTTGTGATTTTGTACTCTGTAGGCGGAAGATCTGGAATCTGTTGGCCCAATTTCCTATCCAGCCACAACACCGCTCCAAAAAAGCCCCATCATATAAACATGGCGTACAACTCCATCAAAGGACTGATGACAGTCAGAGGTGAGTTTAGGCTCTGAGCTTTGGGAGCTCCATTGAAAACAATCTGCTGATTATTTGGAAAACATATTTATAATTTCTCGTTCCTCCTCTCTAGACACAACATTCGTCAATTTCGGGACAGTCTGCTCCGGAGAAATAAACGTTGCGTTCATGACCAACCCGCTGAACGAGGACCTGCAGCACCCTGTGCACGTGTCAGACATCACCATGATCGACAGCCAAGAGGAAGGCAAACTCTTCATCCACAGGCCTGACGTCAGGTAAACCTTTTCCCATCTACAGATACCAGGCACAATCTTTGAGTACCTTTGATCAGGCAGTAGGAACATCATTTATACAAAAGGAATGATAACAGGGGATGTAGTTTAAGATAAAACATAGAAATACATATCTGATTCTAGTCTTAAAGAATGCCAAATAGTTCAACTAAGACACAAATGAAAATAGCTTCTAAAATGAATACTGTAATTTAATGTAAATATTATGGGTTCAATTCCAGATTTATGTTTATTTTCTGTTTCCTTTAACTTTTCATAATTAAATAGACAGCTCATCATAGCATCATTTAATATGTGTTTCTGCTTAAATTGAGGAATGAACTAGGAAAAACCTCTGTCTCTTTACATAAAGCATTTGAGACGATGCATATCATTCTCAGATGACATCTTCGGGCTGTTTTGTGCACGATCAAAATGTTTTTGTGCTCAGCAAAGCGAACCCGTCTGACTGTGTGGACATGGACTGCGACGCGAAGAAGAAGACGCTGCTGCAGGACCTGGACGGATCCTTCCTCGGGGCCGTGGGTGCCGTGGTGCCTCAGTCTGAGTATGAGTGGGGGGGTGATACCAGGAGAGGCCTGGGCGACTACCGCATCCCCAAAGTGATGCTCACTCACCCCAACGGCAGCCGCATCCCCGTGGACCACATCGCTCCGTACAAAGGTAACAAGAGAGGAAAAGATAAACACTCAGGCAAATCAACATTTCAAACTAAACAGTAGCTTGTGAGGAAATAAGACACATTTTCAAACTGATGTCCAGTGTAATAATTCTCCCTAAGCACTTTTACAAATGTATTTATAATAGGCTGTATAGACAAATCTCCATGTGCCCGTCTCCAATGCAATCAGCCAGACAGGCCTATATTTATTTCCTTTTTTATTGTTTTTCATTTTTTATCTGAGAATATGTAGGCCTAGGCTTGGCTAAATTATTTGTGTTAAAATCTTGCGATTTAAATATATATATTTTTTTTTTTTTTTGACAAGTCTATTGTTTTATTGAAAATTGCCTTTTAATAAGACATATTGTGAATCTGCCTTAATGATATCATTCCGCAATAAACACATTTAATTTCTCCCATTTGTCTGGGACATCTTCCCGAGTAGTGGTCGCTTCACCTATTTCTGTCACCTTTGACTTCATCTTATTCGTTTTTCTAATTTAACAACAAAACTGACCTGGTTATTGTAGGAAAATAAATTCATCAATCATTCAAGCTCATGTCTCTGCATTCGGTTTCTTAACGTGCTAAAAATGTACTACCAACTACCTTAAGTGAACCCTGCAAATAAAAATAAAAACATGACTTTATTGTTTTATGGTGGGGTCTTGCAGAGAGTCAAAAGTTGTATTGTTAAAGATCAGAGAAATTACAAGGGAAACAAATGAAATCTCTATCTTTAAAGTCCTGTAAACAAGTACGTCTACGGACATCAGAGATTGGGTACATCACAAAAGAATCTCTGTGTCCTCAGGTGTGATCAGGGAGGACTGCACCTTCATGACCTCCTGGCAGAGCTACAAGTGTTTCGGGCTGAACTACAGGATGCTGGTGATCGAGAGTCTGGACGCTGACTCGGAGACCAGACGCCTGTCCCCCGTCGCTCTGCTCGGGGACAAATTCATCGATCTGATCAACGGTGGGTTGAGTTCTATAGATCTGATGTGAATTAAACCCAGAGCAGTCTGAACGATCTCTCTCAAATGAGTCAAAAGAACAGGAAGAGTGTGTTTGTAATCCAGCCGTGTGTTTTTGCAGGTCCTCAGGATCACGGGTGGTGTTCGGGCTACACCTGCCAGAAGAGGGTCTCTCTCTTCCACACCATCATCGCCACCGGACACTCCTTCGACGTCTTCTTCTCCAGCGTCAGCCCTCAGAAACTCCGCCTCATGATGCTCCAAGCTAAACCGTCTGAGGTCAGTGCCCAGCAGGGAGAAGACTAACACTGCTCAATTACAATTAGAATTACAATTCTCTTCCTGGGCAAGGGTAACATGTTCATCATTTTTTACTAAAACTTCTTTTTTGCAGAGCGTTATGGTGTCAATCTTCTACTCCAAGCCGCAGCGGTTGGATGTGTACGTCAATAATGAACTGGTTCCTCCAACTAACGCTAAGTGGAACGATGATAACACTGACTACACCCTGAAGAAGCCCCTCGCACCAGGTACTCACACTGTACACACACGCAGATAATCTGACAGTAGGTCAATACAGACAATAAAACAAACTTTATAAAGTGTAAAGTATGTTCAAAACGCATAGTGTGGAGCTGTGTCAACATAGTGTTTCTGTCTTTTTTGTTTTGATTAAGTTGCTCATTTGTTTGTATCTCAAACTCAGTCAGCTGAAGCTGAATTCAGAAAATTCAACATTTAACTCCTGGCAATAAATACATATCAGGGATATGATAATAAACTACAAAACTGCTACTAGTTTTTGATTGATAACTTTTTTCCCTGTTTTTCCAAAAGCACCAGAATACACCAGCACTTACATTTTTCTTATTATTTATTTTTAGGAAAACATTCCTGTCATTTTAAAAAGAAAAACTTTTAAGGAACATTTACTATATAATCAAACTATACTAAACTTTACTATAAATACGAAAAAACGTTTTTTTTTTAAAGATACCAAGCATTTTTTGGGTTGCATTAAATCCTGACGATGCAATTATTTTTGTATTTCCTCCTTTGATGGAGAATCTTTTACATTTAAAGGGACAATAAGATGATAATCAATGTTTACCATTTCGTCGATGTGTGTGATAGAGAAATATTTGTTTAAAGTTTAACACATTTTATTTCCTTCAAGGTCAATACATCCCTTCGCTGAATGGCACTGACGGCAACAACTACTTCGACCGGGAGAACAAGATGCTGAAGGTGGTGGTGAAGGGCTCCCAGCCGGTGGAGATCCGCACCGCCCCCGTCCTCGTCATCTCCTTCGATCTGCCCGCCATGACGGAGGCTGAGTTCTTCGGAGACGACCTGATTAATAACCTCGCTATATTCCTCAAAGTTCCCGCAAACATGATCCGCATCACCAACATCATCCGGGAGGACGGAGGCGCCCGGCGCAGGAAGAGGTCCACCGGCCTGAAGGTGGAGCTGGAGATCAAGAAGCCTCCCGTACAGCAAACCTCCAACACCACCGACGGTTAGTGCAGCGCTCTTTTCTGATGTTTGTTTTAATGTCTGATATGTGATTGTTGATCGATAAATAAATCAGGATTACTGTCAAATCTGTCTGTTCCTTTTGTCTTCTCAGATGAGCAGGACTTCACGCTGTTGAAGAGCATCGCTGATGATCTGGGTCAGGCAGCGGTTTCCGGAAACCTCGGTAGCTCCATCGGCTTCAACGTGTCCTCCATGGGCGTCATCCAACCCCCCCCACCAGCCTCTGACCCCACTTGGAAGGAGGTAAATGACAAAACTTAAGCATAATGATGCCTGTAGGGTGAAAACTACATCCTCAGAATATAAACTACATTTGAGGAACTACATTTGTAGAATTAAAAACTACATTTGTAGAATAAAAAATACATTATAGAAGAAAACATTTGTAGAATAAGAACTACATCTTCAGAATAAGAACTACATTTGTAGAATAAGAACTACATCTTCAGAATAAGAACTACATTTGTAGAATAAGAACTCAAATTGTAGAATAAAATGACATCTTCCAAGTACAATCCACATCTTCATAGTAAAAACGACACAGAATAAATCAGTTTTACACGAGAGCTCTCTTGTTTTGTGTTTTAAATGTCAGACAGCCGAAGAGGAGGTGACGAGGGAAGAGGCCCCCGTGAGCTACGTGTCCAGCGTCAGCGACCTGCTGCTGGTGGAGGAGCCCCTCACCGGGGAGTTTGTGGGACCCCTGCACCAGCAGCCCAGTCTCATGGCTGTGGACGAGCTGGTGAGGCAAACATCACTCCTCACTGCAAAGTTATTATCATTCTGTTGAGCTGCGTGAAGACAGGTATCATGAACCATCTTGATGTTAATCCAGATAGAAGCCATTTCGTATTGCCTCGCCTAATATAACCCAATACTAACTATTAAAAAACATTCAGGTTTTTTTCAACTTGTTCACAGGGTTTGAGGTTATTAAACGGATAAAAAGTAACATTTCTTATCGGCTTGTTCAAGATTTGATATCTCGAGTGCACAGTTCAGACTTTTTTATAACTTTTTTCATTTCTTTTTATTCAGCTTGGGAATGTAGCATTTCCCACTGCTTTAAGCTGTGTAAGTGATTCTTATTTGTTTTTGCTGTGGTAAAAACAAAAGCATCTCAAAGGGTGCCTAATAGGTCTTTTTTTACACTTATTTATTTATTAATTGAATGTCAACCAAATAATAAAAATACATGTTAGTCCTCTTATCATTTTGTATCACTTTTAAGTGCCAAATAATGTCCTCGAAGCCACAATAATGTCTTATTGTGGATCAAACTAACTTTAGAAATATACATTACCAGGAGCTTACACCAGAATAGGATGGTACTGAGAAAAAGAACTTACCAGAAGATTCCACATTTTGATGAAGCACTTCCTGTCTGCTGACCTGTGCTGTTGTGTTCAGGGTAACTGTGTCTCTGTGGGAGTCACCAGCCTCGCTGTGACCGCCAGCCTGAAGGACTCCAGTGGGAACGCTGTGGACGGACTGGTGGGAAACACCTCCATCCTGTTCAGCACCTGCTGGGCCAACTTCACCGACCTCTCCATCCAGAACAGCGGTACGCCTGCAGCACGCTCTTTGCACCCTGCAAACAGCTAGAAATATGGACTTAGAAACTACGGGATTGTCGTTTTTTTCCACTGTTCTAACGCATTACAATCTCTGTTAAAGAAAAAAGCATAAAAGCCCTGTAACAATCATAGATACAGTGCAAATAACAAGACAGCCATCACACTTTGAATAATATACAGAACAATAAGAATGTAGAGAGACAGTAAGAGGAGCTGTATTCTCCCCTGAGAAAAATTAAGCTTTGCAGCAAAAACAGCTGAGATAATGAAATGATGACAGAGAAATATTTGGCAACAACTTCTAAAAATCAGATACAAGTTTTGGTAATTTTTCAAGAAGAAAATGCCAAGTATTCTCTGATTTTCACATTTTCAAACATCAGAATAAGCAGTTTTGTCTTTTACACATCATCGTTATTGAATATCTTTTTATTTTTGATAAATAAATAATAAGCTATTAGTAATCATATAACATGTTAGGAGACTTGCATTATGACACTAAATAGATTTTAGAGTTGTTGTTTTTTAATTGGTCTGTGAAGTTATTTTTAATTAGAGGCTGCCATGTGTGTCGCGATATACCAATATTGGCACCTTGTTGATAATACACATGTGATAATATCATGTAAATAATCCATTGCCTCATAAATAATGTTATATAATAGGTTGTGGTTACAGACTCTCTCTTCACCTCCTAAAACTTATATTTGAAAAAAAAAAACTCAATAAACAAACTTAAAGATATCTACAACTTATATTCTCATATTTTCTATTGATAATATATCTCGATAATATCGTTTAATTTAGAACTAGCGGGTGCCTTTTTTATATAGTTTTAGTTTGTGGATATTCTTATATCATACACTTCCTTTAGTCTGCTTATCCAATCTCCTGAGCTAATGTGTCTAATTATTAATTTCCATGCCAAAAGAGTTACAAAGAGCTTCTACACAATTCTAGAAATACTCCCAGCCTTTCAGTGTTAGGCTTTATTTAAGGATATTATAATGACCACAATGTTTGCCCTTCCTCTCCCTGCAGGTGAGAACCTGACCATGGTCTTCACTCTGAAGCAGTGGGACGCTGAATCACGCGCCATCACTGTTGAAGACCTCCCCACTACCCAGGCCCCGTCCACTACCATCATCCCCACCGACGCCCCAGAGACCACCCCCGAGACCCCAGAGACCACCCCCGATGACAGCCTGTTCGGCTCCAGCACCACGGTGACCGCCAACAGCCTGTGCCTGGTCAGCGTCATCTACACGGTGGCCTGCTGCTCCGACGGCATCCCCATATGTTAGAGAGGATCCCTCACATTCAGATTAACACCGGGTTGTCTGCTGAATAAAAAAAGATCCTTAAATATATTACACACATGGCTGTTTTTTTCTATTTCTGTGTTACATTTTTATAAAAAATTAAACAAACTTATTGGGATGGAGTTTAAATAATATGTTATAATTGTATAATTAAAATGCAAAGCACCCCTGGGTTTTCTACTTATGTGGTCAATTGTAGGAGTTAAACTAAATGATTGGGATGGGGCTAAATGAATGTATTCTAATTAAATGCAAAGCACTTTCCCCTGTGTCACATGTGTTTTATGTGAACATTTCTGTTTTACATGATGCCACTCCTGGTGTAAGATCCATATAGATGTTTATGTTTAAAACAATTGTTGCTTATAACTCTGAAACCAGATGAAGGAAGACATGAAGTTCTCATTTTGATGATTATTGTTCTGAAACTATATTCTCTTTCAAATAAAGTCTATTTTATACTGATAAACAAATTAATATTGTTTGTGTGTTTTTTTCATAATGTCCTGCTGAGTGCAGACTCTGTCCATGGTGCTGATGAAGCTGATTGGCTGAACGTGTCCTCTTCCTGCCAATGTGTTTGCGCCTCGCTAGAGGGCGGGAGACTCCGTGTTAAACCCTTGAACGCATCATCCACTGAAGCAAAGTTGCAGTGGTATTTTTAAAGTCTTGCTTGTGTGTTCAAGCAAGACTTTAAAAATACCACTGCAACTTTGCAAAAACGTCTAAAATGGAGACAAAAAACTCCAAATGACGAGCCATTTTGGTTTCGTGTGGAAACCAAAAGCGAGTGTCCGTTAACGCAGCAGAAGTTGCCGAGCGTCCTTTCAGCGCACATCTGCCTCCCAGGGAGTGGGGGCGGGGGGCGTCCGACAGAGGAACAATTAGTTTTACAGCCTTAATTTGCGCCCTCCATTTAGCCCGAGCGATAACAGTACAATGTAGGCGTGTTCTCACCCCCTTTTTTCCCCTCCGCACCGCCTGTCCTCCGGAGCTCCGTGCGGAGCCGCCACTTGCTGCAGAGTGGATGCAGAGTTCAGCCCTGGTTTTGCCCGTGGTCCCCCGCTCCCCCCGGCCACAGCTCTGATTCAGCACCAGAGGATGGATCTCTATCACCTGGCTCTTCTCTGCGGGGCTCTGCTGTTTGTCTGGGAAATCCCCTGTTTTCAAACTCTTGCTATTTTCCCTCCGAAGAGCAGCAAGGTGACGAGGATTTTTCATGATCAGGAAGCTTCAAAGTACTTTAAGGAGTTCCACGCATCGCCATCCATCGAGAAAAACAATAAAGCAGCATCTAAAGAGTCCATAGAGCCTCATGACTACATGATGTCTATTTACCAGACCTTCTCCACGGCGGAGAGACTGGGACTTAATGCAAGTTTCTTCAGGTCTTCTAAAGCTGCCAACACTATTGCAAGTTTTGTGGACAGTGGACAAGGTATGTGGAGTTTAACTGTATGAGTGTGTTTAGGTAGGATTGATTGATTACCCATGACTCATATTTATAATCCCAGATTAATTCAGTGCAGACAGGATTTTTTTAGATTCCACATCTCATTGGTATGCTCATCGTCTCCGTGAGAATGCGTCTGACCATGCTGTTTAATGCTTTCCACAGATGACCTCCCACTCTCCCCACTGAGGAGACAGCAGTATCTGTTCGACGTCTCAACACTCTCCAAAAAGGCGGAGGTGCTGGGAGCCGAGCTCAGGATATACACCAAAGTGTCTGGGAATTTCAGGATATCGGAAACAGAGCCCGTGGACATCCAGCTCCTCTCCTGCCACGACCGGCGGCTGCTCAACTCCAAAACTCTGGACCTGCAGGGCTCCCAAAGGCCCAAGTGGGAGGTGTTGGACGTGTGGGACATATTCAAAGAGCAGCAGCACCTGAACCAGGGGAAGCACTTCTGCCTGGAGCTCAGGGCCATGCTGGACAACCCTGAGAGGGAGCTGGAGCTGCAGCTCCTGGGCCTGCACAGGCACGGCAGGCCACAGCAGAAGAAAGCCATCTTGGTGGTGTTCACCAGGTCTAGGAAGAGGCAGACCCTCTTCAGTGAGAGGAGAGGGGGGAGAGCGTTGCTGGGTCTGGAGAGGAAAGCCAAAGAGAGAGGCCCCGGTGGCGGTGCCAAGGCCAGCAGGAGAAGGAGGACAGCCGCCTCCAAAACCCGCCACGGGAAGAGGCACGGCAAGAAGTCCAAATCCAGGTGCAGCAAGAAACCGCTGCACGTGAACTTCAGAGATCTGGGCTGGGACGACTGGATCATCGCCCCGCTGGATTATGAAGCATACCACTGCGAGGGGGTGTGTGACTTCCCCCTGCGCTCCCACCTGGAGCCCACCAACCACGCCATCATCCAGACTCTAATGAATTCAATGAACCCCAGCAACATGCCCCCCAGCTGCTGCGCCCCGTCCAAACTCAGCCCCATCAGCATTCTGTACATCGACTCAGGAAACAACGTGGTGTACAAACAGTACGAGGACATGGTGGTGGAGTCCTGTGGCTGCAGGTAGTAGACCAGGCTGCACCTCCATGTTGGTCAGGCTGTCTAGGCAGCATAACAGTCTGTGTGATGACAGGCTGACCCCTGAAATAATTGCTTTCTTTTTTTCCGCAAGAAAAACTAAGTGATGCATTTCCTAACCATGCACCCAAGGAGGTCATGTCTAATACCTCAAACTTTTTTCTGTGTGTACTTTTAAACACTACAGTGACTGCATATTGATGTACATATGGTAAGATAAATGTCATAAAAAAATATGAGTCTTCGGTTATACCAAATACAAATACACTTATTGGCAAATACACTTATTCAACTTCTTGCAGGGATTTAGATGGTTGAGACCACTCAAATGTCAATATGAAGCTACGGCTAGCAACTCGTTAGCCTAGCTGAGCACAAAGAATGGAAACGGAGAACTAGCCCTCATTTTATCACCTTGGTTTTACAGGCGTTAAACTAAATATATAATGTATTAGTTAGTTTACTTTAAAGCTACGCGTTGGCGTATCCTGTTAACTTGGAGAGAGCCAGGCTAGCTTCCCATTTCTTTCCAGTTGCTAAGCTAAGCTAACCATCTCTATAATGCAGCTCTTTATTTACCGTACAGAATTAAGAGTGGTATTGATCATCTTGTCTTACTCCTAGCCAGGGAGTTTTGTTTTTTTCAAAAAATGTAAAACCATGCCTTTTAAAAAGAGACATATTAAATATTTCCCATTTAAGGATCGATGATATTGTTATCTTGAATAAATTATTTCCATTGCAAATATAAAACAATTGATGCTGCTTCTTGTCCTTTTAACACCCATGAATTGGCTTGTGGGACTCTAGCACTATGTTTAACTGTCATGGACTGCTGGTACTATGATCAGTTTCAATATACATTTTTGATATATGTTATATTAAATTCTCTAGTTCTTTTTTTTTTACAAAATCCGTAAAGGCAATCCTGGTCCAATGTGCCGGAGCAAACAACCATGAAATCTTCGTTGATATAATCATTAATGTCTAAAATCTCTAAAGATTCTAATAATTATTTTCTTTTTTGAAACGTCTAGAATACTATTTTATTCAAGACATTGATTACTTTTTTGTGGCCACTTTCCAAAAGAACTAAATGATGAACTTCAGTGTAACCATTTCCCCCATAATGAAGTCTTGAGTGACTGATTTCCAGCACTTGACATGGCCTACGACTCAGGGAACATGGAGGTTATGTGAAGTCCTTTTAAGCAACTCTTACCACCGTCAGTACATTTCCAGCAGAACCGGGGCAGGGTTTCTCACCAGTTTACTTGAGGAGATTCATCATTTTGTCTGTGATGCACTGATGTTCAAAGGTACCATGTGTAAATATTTGGAAATAATAATTTATGTTCTACGAATAAGTTATTTCATTTTTTATTGTCCGCTTTGTTCCGCTCTAACTTCCAGACAGCATGAGTCACGCGTCTGGATGTCCAGGTGCAAATAAACACGTATGGGTTATGTTTTGTTAATGCAATGTGACAGCTATGTTCTCCTCACAGACATGACGTGAAATACTGTTGTATTATCAGTATTTCTCCTGTATATATACATAGGAAATAATTATTCACCAAACAAACAAAAAAGTTTCTGTGTTTGGCAAACTTTTTATTAGGCTATCATGTTGTCTGAAACATAAGTAGCACATTTTAGCCCCTTATATTTTGTTTTACATTATTTACTGTTATGAAAATAATATATTATACTGATTGATACTGACGGCCTGTGAGATGAATGGATAATTAAGTGTCATCTTTTTACTCTCATGCATCAAGCTTTATCACAGCAGAAAATGAATTGATAATGTATTTTTACACAAAGTAAAATAATCAGTAAAATATTTTTAACCAAATGAATCTATTCTTAGAAACTGTGTGAACTGTAATGTGTAGTAACAGGCAAATTAAAATGTTTATAATTTATCTTTTGTAAGTGTTGAATGTAATAATATCTTTACCTTTTTTGGTCATTAATACCTTATTGTCATGGATTTGTTCATAATCTTACTCTACATTCCTACCTCTATCTTACCTACCATGGATGTGGCTACTACTCTTCATGGTACCCATCATGGACTTGATTTCAGGCCAAATTATTATAATGTCATAATATTTGGTGGACTGGAGCCTACATATAAATGATCGAATTGCTCAATCGCCTACGTTTTTTAATGTCCTGCTTTTCACTTGACTTGCAAAACAATTTTGAAAAAGAGAGAGTCTCATACTATCTATAAATATGAGGCTACAGCTAGCAACCAGTTAGCTTAATTTAGCACCTTTAGGCTCACAAATCTTCAACTTGTTGCTTTTACACTTCCTGTTTATTTGGTAGGGATTCAATTAACAAGACATAAGGTGTCAAGTGTTTAATTTTAGAGCTGCTGGTTTCCTGCTACCTTTTTACACACACATGCTAGCTGCCTCACCCTGTTTTTAGTCTCCAAGCTAAACTAAGCTAAGCTAAGCTACCAATAACCTTCATTTTCAATGTTCAGACATGAAAGGGGTAATAATCCTCTGTCTAACTCAACTAAGTTAGTTGTGAACTTCATATAATTGAATTAGAAGTTTAATTTCAGTAGCTTTCTAGTTAAACAACATTAATTTGTGCATATTAACCCAAGTAACACAATTACTTCTTTGCCAAATGTTGGTGTAGTAAACTAACTACTTAATTACAAACTTTTTAACATTAAAAGAAAATACATTATTTATAATTTAGAGAAGCAATATAAAAATTGCTTTTCTACTGTAATGGAACCCCCTTTGACCAGCCCACACACTTTTTCTTCGAAACTGTTTTTTTTTATAATCTCAACTGATTTGCTACTATGTGACTTTCTTGATATCATATCTTCTTATAAATGTGTACCACATGTACATTCAAAATGTGTAATCCAACAAGTAGTCTGAAATTTGTATTAAGTAACTTTAGTTAACCAAACTTGGTAGTTTTGCTGTATTTTTACAGTTTGATTTCATTGGTTTGCAAAGCCACTTTCAAAGTCGCTTCTCCAACACCAGAGTAAATTTCCCAAAATGTCAAACTCCCTTCAGACATCTAAAAGTGTCTGAAAGTGTTAACTGCTGTTGTTGACCTCTAGTTGTTAAAGGTACACCTAAGTCTGCTATTGATCAATATAAATAAAGTGGTTAGGAACTTACTGACTCATTAGTGTTCCTCTCTGATGTTAAAGGGACGAGCAGGGTGAGTGACAGTTTTCAGGGTGAAGAGAGGGTCAGCAGACAAGCCGCCATCTTCCCTGGGTGGGCCGTGTGTGACAAACAAATTGGTGTGCAGATGTAGTGACCGAACCCCCCCCCCCCCTTTTGGTCTAGAGCCACATTGAGTCCCTTGCCCCACATACAATGGCAGTGGAGGATCTCAACATCAGATTAAGCCTGCCTTTTCCTTACCGGGGTCAAAGGTCAAGTGGGGCATTGTCTCAGGGGGCTGAGGACATTAAACAACGTGCACGTCTCCTGAGAGAAAGGGCGGTAATCAAGAGGGGAGGGAGGAGGGAGAGGAATGTGTGTGATGCTCTGTGAGGGCCTCGCTGTCACCGCAGCAAACAACAAGGTGAGATATAAAAAAGGGGCGTCCAGTTTTAAAGCAGCTGCTCTGAACAGCCAGCGGAGGACAAAAGGCTGGAATGTACCGTCTCTATAGTGGTGTACGGAGGCGTTTCTGCCCTGCCTCTCACTGTGGAAGATTTGCTGTGAGATGGAGAAAAAATATTTGCAGGGGAAACAAAGCCGGGTGTAAATCCAGTGCAGGATTCAATTGTTATCAGAAAGGGGAGGGGGATTACTTGGAGCTCATGTTTTTCTGTTTTCTTGCTGAGTTTTCCTGTGATGTTAAATGTTTCACACATGTCCGGAGGAAAGGAAGTCTAAGAAAGGATCAGGAGGGACTTAAATCTGGAGTAACATAGTTTACAGCATGTGATGTGTGTCCAAGAAAATCTCAAGAGCAAAAGGAAAGAAAACTTTCCCCTGAAGTATTTACCCGATATAATTCCAACACGTGTCTCTTTTGTTTGCTTTAAGTCGCGAGCAAAAGTGGTGTTGTCATTTTGACCTCGGTGTTTGCTCTGGTAAACGCAGACTCAGAGTGGAAATCCTCTCTGTGGAGTCAGGTGGCAGCAGGCGCTCTGACTGACATACGAGGGAAGTGACTTGTTACTCCTTCTGTTGGTTGAGTAAACTTTGCTGACTTTATTTGTCACCTTTGCTGCAGGGCTTTTGCTTGTTTTAAGTTATGCTTTCCTGTGATACCCAGCAGGCTTTGATTTATCTACATTCTAACTGGGCTGAAAGGAATGACTTGTATGGTATTGATTACTTTAATCAAAGTTTCAACAGCTGTTTTGCTTCTAGAACTTGTCTTCTTTCAGACTATTGGAATTTTGTTTTTGTGTAGATTTCTCTTAAATGTTCCAGTGATACAATGTTCTGTCAGTGTGGTTAAAAAACATGGTTTGGTACCACAGGAATTTGTCTCCCTTTGTGTCCACTAGGGAAAAATCCACTCTTTGCAGCAGGTGGTAATCCGTTGATCAACATACTTTAAACCGGTGGCTTAAAACACTTTACGTCAAATTGTGAAGGACATTAGAATAATTCCATTTTCAGAAAATTTGATCAGAATAAATCATCTTTCCTCACGTATTTGTTTTAAAAATCGATTACTACTAAAATACTGTCAAAATGTAACAATAAGTTGCCTTGAACATCTTGAAAAAAGACAAAAAAACGTATCCTCTTTTTTCATCCAATAGCTATGATCAAACCAGAACATTTGGGAATAAGACCAGGATATCACACTCATCCCACTTTTCCTACTATTATAATACAACATTTGGAGGATCACTGTCCAAATGTGGGGTGATACAACTGAAAATACTGCACAGAGCACATCAGCCCTAGAATCAAATAGACTGATCAAACTTTTAGCTCTATGCTGGCATGATTGAGGGGA